CTAGCAACCCCAAACTTGCAGCCGGCTCACTTTTTGGAAGGACAGCCGGTACTCAGTACCGCCGCCTGACTCTCTAAGAGCAGGCCTAAACATTTGGTCTAGGCCATAATTCATTCAGGGGTATGCTTGCAAAAGCCCAACCGGTGAATGGACATCCTAATCTGGCGTGATTCTTTTGCGAAGTCCCGACCGGTAATTCAGTATAAACCGACTGGCTCCCGAATCTAATGTTGGCACTTAGTGTATATTCGAGCTATATCATATGAATAGTCGCCTGGCTTGCAAAGACCCAGACCGCTATCCAGGGGCAATTACCCAGACGCCATCCGGTTTGGTTTTGGGTCGAAATTTCTTCGCCTAGTTGCGAAGACCCAGACGGCAGTGTTACCGATGGGGTCTTCTTGGCAACCCTTGCAAATTTCTTCGCCTAGTTTGCGAAGACCCAGACGGCAGTGTTACCGGTGGGGTCTTCTTGGCAACCCTTGCAAATTTCTTCGCCTAGTTTGCGAAGACCCAGACGGCAGTGTTACTGGTGGGGTCTTCTTGGCAACCCTTGCAAATTTCTTCGCCTAGTTTGCGAAGACCCAGACGGCAGTGTTACCGGTGGGGTCTTCTTGGCAACCCTTGCAAATTTCTTCGCCTAGTTTGCGAAGACCCATACGGCAGTGTTACCGGTGGGGTCTTCTTGGCAACCCTTGCAAATTTCTTCGCCTAGTTTGCGAAGACCCAGACGGCAGTGTTACCGGTGGGGTCTTCTTGGCAACCCTTGCAAATTTCTTCGCCTAGTTTGCGAAGACCCAGACGGCAGTGTTACCGGTGGGGTCTTCTTGGCAACCCTTGCAAATTTCTTCGCCTAGTTTGTGAAGACCCAGACGGCAGTGTTACCGGTGGGGTCTTCTTGGCAACCCTTGCAAATTTCTTCGCCTAGTTTGTGAAGACCCAGACGGCAGAGTTACCGGTGGGGTCTTCTTGGCAACCTTTGCAAATTTCTTTGCTGTTTGCGCAGACCCAAGCGGTAGTGTTACCGGCGGGGTTCTTTTGGTTATCCTCGCAGAAATATGTATAAAAAATAACAAGAATTCTAATATTGGAGTGCAGAAACATAAAAAGCATTCAAAAGCCGGCTCAGCCGGTGAAAATGTTTATATTCAAAATAAAAATTATTACAGCTTAGCCCATCTCATACGGCGCTATTACAAGATAATGCTAGGCACGCAGGCCGGGAAGTAGTTGCTACTCCAGGCGAACAGTGAGCCGGTCCTATTCCGGTTGGTTCTGGGTTGGATCAGGGTGAGCGGCTGCGTCGGCTTCAGGAACGACTTCTTCCTCTTCAGCAGCCTCCGCCTGCCGTCGCGCAATCTCCTCCCTAACCCAAGCGTCATAGGGTCCGGGCCCCGGCTCATTCGCCTCCTCGGCCAGAATGGCAAGATCAGAATATTTGAAGGCGAGTTCCCAGACGGTGAAGTCCGCCTCCGGGTGGATGAGGGAAAACGCCCGTTGCATCCGGTTTGCACAGTCATGCTCATTCTCTTCAATGAGCCTCTCCTGCTCCGACTCCAAGGTGACCTTGAAGTTCTCATTGGCAGCAGCCGCCTCTTTGCGCAGGCGCTCATTCTCTTTGGCAAGGCGGCCATTTTCAGTCTCCGCCTTGCTCAGCCGTTGGAGGGGCTCTCTCTGTTCCTCCAACTTTTTATTGGCATCATCCAGGGACGCCTGCAGTTGGTCAACTTGGTTTTTCAGCTGATCAATCTTCTGTTGGAGGGCTTTGGTCTTCTCCGCCTGTTCCATGCGTATAGATTTAGATTCTAAGCCATGCATGTACAAAGAGTAGTCAGCAACATTATGGGCGTCATCAACAGCCCGTTTGCTTCTCCTTACCTCCTCAGACTTGCGGGTATAAGCTCGTTTGAGCCCCTCTACGCGCAGCATAGCCTGCAAAAATACAGCCGGTTAATACTGCATACTTAAAAATGCACGTCAAGAAAATTACCGCATGGTTGTTGGAGCATACGTCGGCCAGGTCGACCAGCACCCGGTCGGCATTAAAGGAGTTGATCCCAGGGATCGCCTCCTTCTCGTCCCTGGGGACGGCTTTCAGCATGGCCCGGGCATATTGTGCCCCGTCCGGCCAGCGGGGAGAATTATCTGCACCAGAAACAGACGGTGAGAAACTCGCATATGCTCTGCCTATAGATTGCCGGCTGATTGGAGAATCCCCCGGCTGCGATCGAGACTGTGAATAAGACTTGACCCGCATGGGCAGATCAAGCAGTGTAAGGTCGAAGTTACCTTGGCGGCCCGAACGGCCTTCAGAGGGACCGGTTGCGGTCCTCAATGGGATGGCAGAAAGCACATCCGCAGATCCAGGCCCGTCTGGGACCCTTATTGATTTGCCGCCGGTAGTTTGCCGGTCGGCTGTCTTCTGCACCTTGGATGCAGACTCTTGTTGGGTCGGCGGAGGCCTGACCTGTTTTTGAAGGGACCGGGGCATCTGCTTCCCGTCCTGTAAACGAGAAAAATATAAGTTATGGGATAAATGGATTGAAATAAACGAGAAGGATCAGACGGTTATACCTTCTTCGCCGCCTGGGCAGCAAGTTTTTTCTCGAGATTGGCTTTCCGGATGTCGGCAGCCGACCTAGCCGGTGTCTTCTCGGTGGGCAGCATTTTCTTGGCTTCTTCTGCAGAGGAAGGCACACGGTTAGAATAATAAATAAGCAAGGAAATAAAAGCATCCGGTTCGAAAGAAACCGGCTGAGTTCCGAATACATACGTTTTTTAAACATGCGGCTTAGGCCACAAGCGGACAAGAAGCATTCGTCCCTAAAAAATTCATGTTTGGGCACCCAGTTTCTGGGTACCCTTACTATCTCTCTGGATGAGAGGGTGTCAGGAACTAACTCAAAAAACCCGGAGTCAAGGATGGTCTCTCTATCATCCTCCGGGACAGGGGGCAGGCAGCACTTGGTTCCCAAGAGTTCTGGTTTCCGGTTGTAGATCCGGAATTCTCTGTTCTCTGCCGTAGTTGGGGCCTTAACCAAGTAGAACCGGTGCTTCCAGTCCGACCATTTGGATGGCTTGTCCAAGGTCATAAGGTATTTGGGCTGGGTGGTCAAGGTATACCAGGCTCTCCAGCCGCCTGGGATCCTACTCAAGTAATGCATGTGGGCAAACGCCTCCCAGCCGGGGTTGAGGCCCTGCATCTCGCAGGCGGCGATATACCCTAAAATATTTACCCATGAGTTGGGGGTTAATTGCCAGAGACCTAGGCCATACCCCCTAAGTATGGCTTTTATTGTGTCGTGGAGAGGGAAGCGGACTCCGGCCACGAAGGCCGCCTCGTAGCACCCGAACCAAGCGTTCGCGTTCGGTTGTCCATCCTCCCACCATATTGTTCCCAGAGCAGCCGGGACTTTTATTGTATAGTCACCACCCAGCGGCCGCCGTTTGATAAAATCTGGCAGCGCAGCCCGCATGAGCTCGCGGTCCTTGGAGGAGACGGCGATCATGAGAGGATCGTTCCTATTATCCCAAGAAGGCCTCTCCGCCTCCTCGCTATCCTCAGATTCGGTTAAGTAGCTGCTACTGCTACTTTGAACGTGACCGGCATCAGAGCCGGCTGGGGAGTTGGAGACCTCCTTATCAGAGCCTACCTGCTCTCTGGTCTCCTGGAGGGGAGCACTCTCTTCGTTTAAAATGCTATCACCCGGGGTGCTAGGAGCGCCCCCGGGTGAGCCTCTCTGCTCTACCTCTCCATGCTCTACTTCACCGCCTGAAGCTGGGACCTCAGGCGACTGCTCATCTGAGCTCCCACTTCTGTAGTTGGGATCTCTGGCAGTAGACCGGATTCTGGCCATTGTGTCCTGCACAGACACAGAGTCGGTCGATATGGGTGTTGAAAAAGGGTTGTCCCAAAGAACAGAGGCGGCAGACCCAGTTCTAGACTCAGCCGTACTAATAAACCGGCTGAGTTCACAGCTAGGTTCCGGGTATGGGTATAAGGGGTCCATCTACTTATGGGACCAATGAACAAAAATGTGAGTAAAAGACTCAAACGGAAATACATGAAAAAGCTAGAAAGAATAGAGACGGTACCTAGAAGAAAATCTGGAAATTCTCTGGGATGCTTGCGAAGACGCAGGCGGTTCAAAATTCGGCTGGGTTTCTCTGATTACCCTCTCGAAAATCTTTGGCTAGCTTGCAACGACCCAGACGGTCTGTAGACCGGTTGCTCTCAACGAATCTCAACTCCGAATGCTCTCAACTCTCAAATTGCCGGCTGCTCTCAAATCTTCAGAAATTTGGCAAAGTTTGTAAATGAGAGCTCGGGGGACATCTTCTCCTATTTATAGAATTTGTCCCAGAAGGTGAAAAGTCGTGACTCTTCGCCTTCTGCTTTTCCATCCTTCAAAAGGAATCTGAAGAGTAAAAAAAAAAAAAAAAAAAAAAAAAAACCCTTTCACCAGCGCCACGTGGCACCCTGCCACGTCAGCACCAGTGAGGGGCAAATGTTTGGGGTAAAAATACCCTAAACACGTGGCCCAATGGCCTAGTGACACGTGGCATCCAGCCGTTGGTCAGCAGGGCTCCAATCCTCTGCTGACACGTGTCCTCTAAACCCTAAAAGGGGAACCATCCCTTCCCCACTATAAATAGTGGAAGGACTCTCATTAATGGGGGCTGGACCATTTGTTGATCACATTGAATACTCCTCAAAAAGAAACACACTTACCCCGAGCAATATTAATTGCGGAATTCTCCCATTACGCGAGAAGTAACTTCCACATTACGTGCATTCTACCTCCCGTATCTTTACTAACTTGATCGTCGGAGGCGGAGCTCCTACCCCCAGGAGTCTTCGTGATTTTGCAGGCACAGGCGTCGAAGGGCATTCTTGGAATTGTAACTCTCCCGCAGGACACATCAAAAAACCCCAAAACAGTGTGGATCAACCGTTTTCCACTGGTCATCAAAGTGTGGGCATAGGGTCATTCACAAGAATGCTTGTTGATCCACATTATGTCAATGACCATCTGTCACAATTTAGGTCTCCGGCCTCATCGCCTAATGTTGGAACCTCAACAAGCACACAACCACAAGGCATTCTTGATTCTCTTGACCCAAACAATGTAGATGTATTTGGCGATGCAGAGATGAATGACACTGATGAAGATGATGATGAAGAGGTAATTGAATCTCATGATAAGGCAATTAAAGGAAGCGCCCCCACTTCAGACTTCAATGAAGTGGCGCAAGTTGATCCTCGTTTGAATAACTCATGGATGTCTTGGTTAGGAAATGAGACATATAACAATGGGGGAGAATTTGAGGTTGGACAGTAGTTTGACTCATTGCAACAACTGAAAGATGCTGTGAAATCTTACTCCATAGCTAGAAATAAAACAATTCGAGTTGTGGAGGCAGAGCCAGAGAAATATGTTGTTGAGTGCAAGAGGAAAGAACAATGTAGTTGTTTGTGGAGGCTTAGAGGAGTGAAAGATCCAACACTCTCTACGTTTAAAATTGTGAGGTACAACGACCCTCATGCAAGTAACTGTGTTGGTGACATCGACTCGGGAGATCATAAGCTACTCACTTCCGAGTTCGTTTGCAATGCTCTTCTAGATGTCATTCGCGTTGATCCTTCATTGAAAATCAAGACAATGGTGCAACTTGTGAAAGAGAAATTTGATGGATTCCAAATAACCTACAAGAGAGCATGGCTAGCGAAACAAAAGGCAATAAAACTCATTTGTGGGGATTGGGAGGGTTCATATGAACAGTTGCCTAAGTACATGCAAGCTCTGAAGGAATCAAATCCTGGAACTGTTGTTGAGTGGAGGTTGTTAGAGAGTACGGTTCCTGGAACACATGTTTTTCAACGAGTCTTTTGGGCATTCAAGCCATGTATTGATGGATTCCGTCACTGCAGACCCCTTATCACCATTGATGGCACTCATTTATATGGCAAATACAAAGGCACTCTACTTATTGCTATGGGAACGAAACTATTCCCCCTCGCTTTTGCGGTTGTCGAAGGAGAGAACAATGATAGCTGGTCTTGGTTCATGGCTTGTATTCGTGCTCGAGTTACAGATAGGAAAGGGCTATGTGTGATATCTGACAGACATGCTGGTATTTTAGCAGCAATGGAAGAAGTTGAAAGTGGTTGGGAGGAGCCCAATGCCTACCACAAGTACTGTACACGACACTTGGCTTCTAATGTGAACTCAAAATTTAAAAGTGTCGTCATAAAGAACCTCTTTGGCAAAGCAGCTACTGCAAGGCAGAAGAAGAAGTTTGATTACTACATCAACAAAATTGGTGACTTGAATGTAGAGGCCCGTAGGTACTTGATGGAAATTCCGTACAGTAAGTGGTCCATTCATCATGATGGTGGTTTCAGGTTTGGTGTGAAGACTACAAACATGTCGGAAGTTTTCAATGGAGTCTTAAAGGGGGCTCGATGTCTCCCGATAACCGCTTTAGTGCAAATGACCTTTTTCCGGGTTAACTCCTATTTTGCAACTAGAAGAAGTTGGAGTAAAAGAAGACTTGAAGAGGGCCATGAGTTATCAGAAAAGGCTATGAAGACAATAGAAGCCAACATGGAGAAAGCCACGCACCATGAGGTTGTTGCTTTTGACTATGATGCCATCGGGTTGTATCAGGTTAGGACCGTTCGTGGAAGGAGAAAAGCTGGTAAAGGTGGTAACTCCCACACTGTGAATCTGTTGAGCAAGACATGTACTTGTGAGAAATTGAGAATATACAACCTCCCATGCTCTCATGTCCTAGCAGTTTGTCGTCACCGAAGCCTATCACATGCAGACTTTGTGGATTCTTTTTTCATGACCGCCGAATATAGGCGTTCATACGCGAAGTGTTCCGCACCAGTTCCTGATCCTTGCCACTGGTCAGCTTACAATGGGCCTACTACTATGGCCAACCCAGATTTGAAAAGAGGCCCAGGCCGACGGTCCACTAGAATCCGAAATGAAATGGATGAGCGTCCCTATCGTGTGAAGAAGGCATGCAGTGTTTGTCGGCGACCTGGGCATAACAAGAAGACATGTCCTACTCTTATTGGTGGTGTTGGATCATCTGGGTAACATGATTAATTATATATTCTTGTTAAATATTTATGTTTTTTCTCGAACGCTTAACATTAATTCAATTTTTTGTTATCGTGTAGGTCCCATGGAGCCGGTGATTCGTCCAGGCCCAGTTGATCCATCTGTTCTACGGTTGCAGACTTCCCATAGGAGCCACGATGTTTGGAGTGGCGTAGTCGATAGAGTTCTCTCAGTTAGGGAGCATATGGTCAGCGTGGGACGTGAGTGGAGGGTAGAGGGCGGAGTACTAGAGTACGTTAGGCTTGCTGGGTTTTACGGTGTACATAGGATTTTGGGAGGAGGGTTTTTGCTTGATCGATCTCTTCTTACGGCGTTGGTTGAGAGGTGGAGGCAGGAGACACATACTTTCCACCTAGTGGTAGGTGAGGCCACCATTACTTTACAGGATGTCGCCGTCCTGTTAGGTCTGAGAGTGCACGGCCCTCCTGTCATTGGACCTCCATTTGAGGGATGGCATGACCTAGTTGAGGAGTTGCTGGGAGTTCGACCTGGCCATGATGATAACGGTAAGCCGTTTCTGGAGGGATCTACTTTGAAGTTGACGTGGCTCAGACGTCACTTATCACAGATGCCAGAGGGAGCTGATGACTTGACAGTTCAGCGCCATGGCCGTGCTTACATTCTCACTCTCATGGGATTCTGTTTGCCGACAAGAATGGCGATGCTGTGTCACTCTACTACTTGCCGTTCCTTCAAGACTGGGAGACAGCTTCGACCTACAGCTGGGGGAGTGCGACTCTTGTTTTTTTGTACCGGCAGCTATGTCGAGCATGTCAGCGAGATTCGAGACAGATTGGAGGCCCACTCATCCTACTACAGTTGTGGTCGTGGGAGCATATTACTATTGGCCGACCATACATTAGGAGGCCTCGAGATCCGCCACAGGAGGACCCTGAGGATGAGGATGAGGATGACATTTTGGGGACTCAGCATCAGCGAGGTGTTGACCCTTTGGCGTGCAGGTACAGTGTTTGCTTCAAGTTCATGTTCTTACAGTTCTATCTTTCAAGAATTATTATTAACGAGTCTTTACAGGTGGTTACGTGTCCATCTATGGTGTGCGCATACTGCTTCTGGACTACCATACTACAGAGATGCGTTTGACCATCAGCGCGAGGACCAGGTACAATCGGTGTTTCTTTTTTTTTTGTGCATTGTTTTTCTTCCATTATGTTAGTCATATACATGTTGACATACTTGTGTTGGGAATTAGATGATTTGGCAGCCATATACTGAGGCGGTGATGGATCGACTTCCGGAGATTTATCGCTCAGACATGCACATTTGGCGTACACGGGCACCTCTAATATGCTTTGACGTCGTTGAGTTCCACCTCCGAGACCGAGTCCTTCGTCAGTTCGGGTTAGACCAGCCGATCCCACAGGATGTAGACACGGACGTTGCTCTACACAGGAAGGATCAAAGGGGACAGCGTAATTGGGAGATTCGGCATTCGGACCATGTACACGAGTGGAGTCGACGAGAGGCATTAGTCGTCCAGGGATACCCGTTCACTGGGACTTCTTCCCCGGCCATGACAGAGTACATGGCTTGGTACCGTCGCATCACGAGACTGGTCATTACTCCACCTTCGCAGGAGCGCCCCCCGAGTCATTACCAGCCAGCTACCTCTGACCTCTTGCTTGTATGAACTTCACTTCATTTCAATCTAGTTCTTACGTTTTTGATTTCATTTTACTAACATTAAAACTACACTTCAATGTAGGCACATGCATTTGCTGATTTGCACGTCCAGCTATCGGGAGCTACTAAGACCATCTCCCACTTGCCACCAGAGACGGCTATACCATTTGCCATACAGACGATGCAGGGTTTTACATCATTTTGTGGGTAAACCTTGTCTAGGGTGGGGCAGTCATACCTTATTCAACAGCCTCGACCGTCCACGTCTTCATCTTCTACTGTCCACTAATTTTTTTGTAAATGCTTAGAATTGGATTTTGTTATATTTAATCAATTGAAAAATATTCGACTTTGCAATTTCGACTTTCTTAGATCTTCATAAACTTGTTATTTGTGGTGGTTGTGTTGAAAATATGCTACATATCTCATGTTTTACAGGTACACAACTTGCAGGTTTTTTTTTGAATGATTATGTAAGTTTGAAAAAAAAAACCAGTCCAGGGTAAACCGCTACTTGAAGTAGCGGTTTTCCAATGTAAACCGCTACATTAAATAGCGGTTTTTTGTAAAGAAACCGCTACTTGAAGTAGCGGTTTACATTGGGAAACCGCTACTTCAAGTAGCGATTTTAAACTAAGAAACCGCTACTTGAAGTGGCGGTTTATTGCAAAGAAACCGCTACTTGAAGTAGCGGTTTACCCTGGACCGGAAAAAAAAAATTGGTTTTTTAACCAGTGCTTACGTGGACGGTAGAATGGGAAAATAAAAAGAAGAGGCTGTAGTTTGGGAATTGCGGTAATTCTTGACATTAATTTGGGAAAGAGCTCAATTTTTATTGGAGTGAATTTTAGGAAATTTTGATTTTTATTACCATTAAAAAAGCATTGACCTTTACGAGTAAAATGCGAACTAGTTCATTATATAATTCGGTTTAAAAAAAATTTCTTACTATATCGTTTATGTAGGCTTGGTTTTAAGGTTCGATATTTATCAGTATAAAATCGATAACAATGTTCGATTTTATATATAGAACCGCTAAAGAATTAATGCCATTAGAGGTTTCGTATTAGCAATGTTAACGATTTTATATAGACAAATACAATACTAAATCTTGAAATCGAGCCTAAGTGGACGCTATTGCGAAAAATAGTTTTTAAACTAATTATAAGAAATTAGTTTATGTACCAATTGGTTGTTGGTGTAGTGGTGATTGGAACTACACTTGGTAGGGAGGATCCATGTTCGATCCCCCGCAACAATAATTGGGAGGGGATTGAAACCTAACCACCCAAAACTGATCCCCGAATCTGGATTAGCCCAAAGAGTGAACCGGGTGGAACACTAAAAAAAAGAAATTAGTTTATGTTTTTACATTATTTAGGGAAATCGCTGAATTTTTACTTGTATCTAAAATTTTATTTTACTATTAGCAAAAACACAAAAAAAATAAATTTTGCTACCTGCTAACAACTTTTGTCAGAAAAACGTTAGTGGGGCCCACTCTCCATTTTTTTATTTTTTATTTTTTATTTTTTTTAATTTGCATGTCGAAAAATGTTTCGTTAAGGTTTTGGAGGTATTTTGACCCTTAAGTGTTCAAATTGATTGACCTTAGATAATAAAATCATGTAAAGACCTCGTGTGTCACTATTGTTGTTATTATTATTATTATTATTATTATTATTTTTCCGTTGATATTGTTCGGGTAAGTTTTTAGCGTCAATTTTACTTCATCAGATTTAATTGACATTTTCCATTAGGGTTCCGTTAGTGGTCAGTTCGTTGTTTATTTTTCCTCTCGATTTGTGTTGTTACTCATGGACAACAAAAATTGCTCCAAATGATGAAGGTGACTTTTGTACATTCTGAGGTTGAGGCAGGGTGATCACTGATTGGATATCCGATATCAGAAATTTGGGATATTCAAAATTCGAATCCGATTCGAAAAGTTTCGGATGATATCCGACAATTTTCGGATTGGATATATCGAATATCGAATATCCGCAATATTATACTACCTCTGGTTCTTGTTACTTGCAACAATTTCCTAAAACGGATGGTTCACATTACTTGCAACATTTTTTTTCTTTCCTTTTTTAGTAAGTTTTTGGGTGTAAATTTACCAATTTACCCCCTTACTTTTATTTTAATCTACTCACTTACACTACTAACCACATCCAATTATCCTAAGCTCAAGATTAATTAACATAACAATTCCCACCAAAATTACCCCATCCCATTTAAATTCACCATCACCCCAACCACTAGAATTGAATGCATCTGCATTCAATTGATATGATGAATATGGTTGAGTTCTTTAATTCTTGAGAATTCTCCAGGATATATCCCCCCCCCAACCCTAGTTCTTCATTTCTCACTCTCTCTTCTCAGCCGTTGTCACCCTCTCTTTCTCTTCAGTTTCTGGGTTCCCACCATTCTCTCTCCTCCATTTTTGTTCTTGTTTTGCTTCCTTCTCGGCCATGACTACTCCAAATGACGAAACTCCAGGCCTTTTCTGCTATGAATCTTTCGGATCTAGTACATATAAGGCCAAGGCTAGATCCCAAACCACTAGGTACAAGCCGCAACGCGGAACCGGTAACATGAAACCTGTCCGTCGCGCTTCAATCATTTCGAGGAGGAAGATCCGCGGTGCGAAGCTTGTCGTATACATCTCCAGCGATGAGCAGGAGAAGCCAAAAGAGGTGGTCCCTCAGCCTAAGGTTGATGCTCAACCACCTAAGGCCTCAGATGAGGTTGAAACTGCTGTGAAGGAGGACCCTTTGGCTGCTGGTGGGGCCCCTGACGCTGTTGTTGAGGTTGGTGACGCCAAATTTGAAACTGGGGATACCAATCCAACAGATCTAGTGGTTGGAGAGGTTGTCCAGCCATCCGAGTCCCCTGAAGGCGATGGTGGTAGTGTTGTTGGTCCTTCCTCTGGTGTCAAACGCATCAAATCTGGGCTTCCTGACGGTATGGAGCCAGACGATGTGTATATGGCTTACCCTGCAGATCTACTACCCTCAGTACTACATTCCTCCTAACTGATTGAGCAGCGTAAATTCTAAAACCCTAATCTTTTTTGATTTCAAAAAGCATTTGTATTTTGTGATTCATTGGTTGGATGGTTTATGTTGAATTTTTTTATTGCAATGTTTTGGTTGTTGAGTCCCAACCCAAACCCTAGGTCTGTTGATACATTATGGTTTATTTTTTACCTTGATGTTGGTTTATATTTATTTGAAAATTTGATTTCATTGAGTCCCCTGTTCCATGTTGCGTGATTATTTGATTTTGTTTTCTTGTTTGGATGGTGTAGACATTTACTTTTGGTCCTCTGTCCCGACCGGAAGTGCTATGACGATAAATAAACCATCTTTGTGTTAGATCAACGTGAAGAAAACTTATGGATTGCTGATTAAGGCTTAAACACATGAAACAACTAGCTTTACCCAATACGAAATAAACTAAAGCTAACTAAAACTAAGCCCGATTAGTAATTAGGACTAATCCCAAGATTAAACCTAATTATCGACGGATTTAGAGGTGCCTAGGTTAAAATCCGAGGCTGCCGCAGGAAAAAACCGCTCGCAACTCAAGGAGTCGCGCTGGCCTGGCACGTGCGACCCATAAGGTTGCGCGTGACATCCAGCGCAACCACCAATGATGCGCTCGCGGAAGATTCAAAATTTTATAAAAATGCTGAATCGAATCTTACCATAAAGCCACACGTAAGATCATTAGTTGCGCTGCCCTCAGCAGTGCAACTCAATTACTTGCGCGGTAGTCACGTGCGACCTTTCGAGATGCGCGCGCCACCTACTGCTGCAAAATATCCAAAACCCTAAACTCATCCATTCCCTATAAATAGGGGTTCAATACAAGCTTTGAAACACACAGAAATTAACCCAGACAGTCAGCAGAAACCTTATGATCTTATGCACTAATTATTTCCCCTTGTCCTATACACTCACCCCTTTAATCATTTGTTCTTACGGTGGAGGTTCCCGAATAAGAAGGAGTCCATAAGTGTTCTAAGCGAAGATCTAGCAAGGAAAAGTGGTAAAATCCCGAGCGCTTAGATAAACCACCTTTTCTTTTTTTGTTTAAACAAATTTTAATCGATTAATTAGTGTTGTTTGATCACTTTAAATAAACTTTCAATTAATTAATTCACATAATATTCTTTCGTTAAACAAGACTAGAATTGGACAAATTAATTGTTGTTTTATCACCTAAGCCTAGGCGAATCTTGTTTATTTTGTTCTTTCACGAATTTGAATTAAATAAGAATAACGACATTTGTTGAAATGTAACCTTTTCGTGATTAATGCGTGTAAATAAAATCAACTAACTTAGGTATCACGTTGCATATATTATTTGGTAATGAAATTGTGAAAAAGGAAGAGCTAGTAGAGGCCGCACTTGGGCTAGAATGGCGATTCCTCCTTAAAAGGAACGTTATTTTAGTACCCTCGCTCCCGAACTCATTTCTGGTACAATTAGACCAATTTGGGCATGGGTAAACTTATGATTCATGCTAAATATCCCTTGAACTCTACTTGGGAGAAAGCCATGAATGAGGTTTATAGGTTTTTCCTAAAACTCATTGGCGACTCCTTACTAGATTCTTACAAAAAAGCATAATGATAGGATCAACTCTAATTCAAGGTCCCCCAAACAGTTAGGAATTCAAATCCTAACACGCCTTAAACGGTGTAAAGTCCTAGGCTTTAAAGGGCCATGGGCATAGAGGAGAAGGATCCCCAACGACGGGCACACCCTCCTCACAGATGGCATGTTGTACTGATTGTTAAGTGCCCTTGTTTTTATTGGAGTTCAAGAATTGACCCCCTTCCATTGTGATTCTGCTTGGGCTGATTTGGCTGAAAATGTTGGTTATGGTGGTTTTTTGAAACCTAAATTGAGTCCCATATGTTGGTTTTTGGTAAGATGCACAGAGTCCCTTTCCCTAAATGCATCAGCTTGTGTGATCTCCAAATGATGATGGGACTCATTTGA